CGGGGCGAGGACACGGTTGGGGGGCGCAGGGACATTGGAATGGGGCAAGTACACTGGAGGGTGACTAGGATACCCGGGGGTGGGCATAGGTGGGGGGCGAGGACACTGGGGGGTAGATGTGGAAGAAGGACGGGGAAACTGGGGGCAGACACTGAGGTGGGAAATGCAGACATTGGGGTGTGGGGCGAGGACACCAGGAGAGCGAGGACCCCGAGGTGGGGAGTGCGGACTCTGGGGTGGGGGGCGAGGACACTGCACGAGGTGCGATGCAGTCGCTGGGGCAGGGTGGCGGCTGCAGGCGCGCCCTGGGCCTGCCAGGTCTCCTCCATCCCCCACCCTCCCCTCCCCTCCCTTCGCCTGGCGCCCAGCCCCCTGCCGGCGGGTCCACCCGCGGGCTGGCCCTCCCGCATGCACGCTCCGGTTGTCGGGGTCCTCCTCCTAGAAGAACTGAAAACACTCGGAGCTCCACAGCCTTCGGGGCGACCCGACTGGGTTCGCTGGTCCGTCGGAGCACACCAACAGGCCTGCGCCAGGTGCTGGTGGAGCGTGGAGGTGACTTGACCCCGCCCTGCTGCAGCTTAGAGGAGGGGGGAGTTACCTCACCCCTTGGAGTCTCAGATTCCTCACACCTTAAATTGGGGAGCGGGGAGGGGAGGTGGAAATATCTCAGAGGAGTGAGTAAAATGATGAATTCTCAAGGCCTCGCGCTGGCCGCCCAGACAGACCTAAGAAGACAGCGGGAAGGAGAGTGACCCTAAGGACCCTCGGCTCCTGAATGCCGAGTCTGATCTAAACTCCCCACATATTAATCACTTTGGGGAGAGAAAAAAATTTTAAACGAGACAGAAAAAGCAGCCCTCACCCCCACCCCCCTACATACGCAAAGGAAATACCAGCCATCTTTACCGTTGGTTGTTCCTATATTTTACTTGGTGGTGCTTATCTCCTTCTGTTCCCACTTCCCCTTAAACCCCAACTTTTCCAAGACAGGGCAATTCAAATGTCCTGGGTTTAGTTCTCACATCTTGCTTAACATTAACCCAAATCCAGGCTGGCTTGCAGAACGACTGTGAAAATGGAATTTTGGCTGCAGTTTTCTAACCATAGAATGAAACTTTCCTATTTTATCATTTCAGGAGCAGACATTGTGCTCAAGAAAATGGAATGAACATGAGACTCAAATCCATGTCCATTTGTTTTTATTATCAAGAGAACAAGAAAGTGTTCTTGATTTTTAAAAAATATGCTTTCTTAACCATCCAGATGTAGGGGACAGGGCCAAATACATTATTTGATATCATTTGGGTGTTCCAAGTCCACAGATGTGTCTAGTTTGGAAGCTATTGATACAAGTTTTCTCTTTAAGAAAATAAATCTCATCTTGAAACTCTTTAAGCCTGGAAAAAAATAATTCAGAGGGAAAGAAATTTTTTCTTGAATTAAGTTCAACTAAGTTTAATCATTTAAAGGAAAACATGTTTTACTTCTGCCTAAATAGAGCCTAGTCATGTGATTCATAGTTTAAATATATCCACAGCTCCCTGTGTTCACCTCCCAGGGCAACTGATTTTTTTCAAGCCTCTTTTGATTCTAGGCTGGTTTCCCTAGACTTGTCTGGTTAGGTCTACTTCAGTGGGAACAGTGCCAAAGCCTGTGCTCTTTCCACTCTTGAGAGTACATTTAAAATCAGTTACATTTATAGACCTGGCTTCTGTCAAATAGGCTAAAAATCCAGATTGGTTTTTATTACAACATCCCATAATAAGCAAACAACCTAAGCTTTTCCCACATGACTAATGCCTCTAAGATCATCTGTAGAGATAAACAAAAATCTTTGTCCCAGAGAGTTAGAAAAGTTCAAAGACTATTGGAGAATGGCAGATGAGGTCTAATCCCTCATACCAGGGAAAGATCCTGACTTGATAGTGAAAGGTTTCCTTTACACAGTGATTGAGTAGCAGTTACTGGTGATGGTGGGTGGAAGATGAAGCCTGCTTAACTCTTGCAAGATGAAAACTTTTTCTTTTGAGTGCTGAGAATGGAACCCAGGGCCTCATTCATGCTAAGCAGGAAGTCTATCTCTACCTCTAAGTTATACATCCAGACTAGATATTCCTTCCAATGAACAAATGAAACATTGGAAGAAAATTGCAGTTGATGATACTTGCAGTAGGAGACATGTCCCTGAACGGGCCAACCTGGATGGAAGCGGGTTTCTTCCTTATCGCAGCCCGTGGACCAGGATTCCTTGTAATAGGTAGCCAAACCCACCACCTTTCAAAAGGGCTCTTCTTTCAGGACCCTCAGATCTACTCACCTTGCTCAGAACCTCTACCTGTGTTCCACCACTCATGACACATCATAAGCCATGTCAGAGGAGAGATGTGTAGGGGCTGGTTATTATGAATATGCAGAAAGATAGTATATATGGGCTGGGGATGTAGCTCAGTGGTATAGAACATATGCGAGGCCCCTGGTTCAGTCCCCCAACATCAAAAAGAGCATTAGTGTTTACATTCGGCTGACAAAGAGACAGTATTTGAAACAAGAAAGCCATGCTTTTGCTTAAATGCTTAATTAATAAGTAAGTTGAGATAACCCCAGTGCTATTACTTAGTACTAATGCCGTTAAGCACGTAATTGCTCTTGTCTTTCCATAGTGTCCAAGGTTTTGCATTTGGTTTCACCACTGGAAGGGAAAAAAGGTAAGGGAGAGTGAACACTATTCATTAAAGGCAATTAATGAGTTGCAGAACTCCTTTGCAATATTTACTCGGAAATAAGATAAGTCCTCAGAGTTGGCAGGTCTAGAGTCTGGTTGATTTGGCCCACTTGTAAACAGTTCTGCCCATACACAGTCAAAAAGGGTGACTCTACTCCTTTTAAATGAAAGAGAGAAACTAGAACTTATGCAGTTTCCATTACTCCACTAATTCATATTACTTAGACATCTTTGGGCTTCTGGTTCAAAACATCAGATCTGGTGCAGAGTTTACTTCTCTTGTTACTTGGGACCTGGGTGAAATTCAGACAAAAGTAAAAGGGGCTCACACCTGTAATCCCAGCAGCTTGGGAGGCTGAGACAGAAGGATTGAGAGTTCAGAACCAGCCTTAGCAACTTAGCAAGGCCTTAAGCGACTCAGTGAGACTCGGCCTCTAAATAAAATACAAAATGCAGATGGGGATGTTGCTCAGTGCTTAAGTGCCCCTGGGTTCACTATCCAATACCAATAAATAAATATAATAAATAAATATATAAATGGGGAGAGGAAGACATGTGAGGGGCAAAGGCAATCATAATGAGCGATCCCACCACATTTCTGGACCATGAAGAACTGAGAGTAGTTCATTGCCAAAGAACACATGCAGAGAAATTGCAGCTTACAGTATATGTCAGGAGGCAGAGAGGAAGTGGGGACAGAGGAAGGGGCCAGACAGGAAGGTCTTTACATGGAACAAGAATGTCCCTTCCCCCACCCACCCCATTCATGTTTACAGAAAAAGAGCCAGGTGGCCTGTGTGATTTGGTTTTACTTTGTTGATGTACATATGACTGATTCATATTCTCTCTCTCTCTCTCTCTCTCTCTCTGGCCCAGGACAAAACCTAGGACCTTGCAAATGCTAGGCAAGAGCTAAACCCCTGACCCCTACATAAGGCTCTTCTGCTGGGTTTCTCTAGGGTAGGATTCAGATGGGAGCTGGGACTTACTTATGGGCAGGTTTGGGTCCTGCAGGCAGGCAGCTAGCCTATGTGAGGTTCAAGGTTCGCCACGAGCTAGGAGGCTGCTACCACTGTCCCTTCTTCTGTGCTGTGGATGTGGCGATGACAGATCTCTGGACAGGACAAGGACTGTTCCCATCCAGGACAGTATCTGCAGTTGCTGGCCTCCCTGATGCAGGCTCCCTTTTTGCAGATCTGCTGCATAAAGAGATCTCCTAACCTGACTCACCTTCCCTGGGAGGGATCCCTACTTTGGAGCAGGAGATTTGGAGGTCTCTCTGGACGTGTTAGGGTGATCATCCTGAGGAAATTGTGTGGGGGGAGGTGAGAGGGGGGTGGTGGAGAGGGAAAACAGGCCTGTGTAAACTTGGCCATTCACATGGAATATTAATCACAGAAGTTAGCCATTGCAGCGCTGCTGGCTACAGAGAATGAGCAACAAACTTTAAACGACCCACTTGAAGCTCAGACACCCCCACCATGAGTGGCAGCTTCTTCAGT